TTTACACATCCCATATAGCAAGAATCCCACCAAGCTCAGTAACCAAAAACATCAAGTGGATCAAATACATAATCACATCATTGCCCAATTCCATCTAAATAAAACCCACCAAAATTGTAGACTTTCAGTAGTGGGGAGATGCTAGCACATTGTTCGGAATAGGAGTAGTGATAAGCCTATGCTATGCCGTATGGAAGTGGGCACTAGGTTTCTCAGTAGGACCAAAGCAAAGGTTTGACATCGGGTGGGCAGAAGCAGTAGCAGTTGAATTGGGACTAAGGTTAGCGGATTCATTTGATTTCCCAGCAAAGAGGATCTGTTCTCAACAATGCCAGTGGCCTACATCCCTGTCGAATTCACTCATGACACAATTACTGAGGCCTTGAGACATAAAGTTCCTTGTCTATAATGCAGTGAGCAATTGTGGACGAAGGTATTCATTGATGCCACAATTCACCACTTTGGTAAATGTACCTGTCTGGAGTGATGTTATGATACATTCTTATATCTACTGGTCAATGATTAATTGCTTGAACGTGCACACCATGGAGTGATAAACTTGACTGTGCCTCACCATAATGATGCTAGCCAGGTCAAATTTTCAGGGTGTTGGAAATGCTGGTCAAAAGATGAATTAAGCGAGTTGGTGTGAAAGGTCATAGTTTTGTTACCAACTTACTGGACGAGAGATACCCAGTGCGATGTCCATCCTGTTACATGTTAAGAACAGTGCAGTAAGGTCCATTTCTGGAAGAAAGCAATTCAATCTAGCACAATGGATCCGCATTGCAAGTATATTCTTGACAAATGATACCAAGATTTGAGGTATTGTAATTCATTGAGTCAATGAGAAGGGTAGGCAGTGTTGTCTAATTGTAAAGCTATCAAACTACTGGCAATTAGTCTGGAATGGAGACCAAGGATCTCAGGTCACATTATCAAGTGATGTTACACCATTCAATGGTATAAAAGACCAACCTTTGTGGGCTAGTTTTGGCAAGCCTTCTTAAAGCTTTGCTTCACTGCTATACCTTGCCAAGTTACACAATTTTCACAATGTTTGCACCCCAAATCAACCTTTATCGTTGTCAATCCACACTCAGTATCTGTGGCAAGTCTTTCGAAGTACAACAACTCACTGCTTGACATTGACAAATGCTGATCGATCATCCTATATAGGCCACAGAATCTAGATTGAAGTGTTGGGGATCTCCAGCTGAAGAGCCATTGCTGCCGCTACTATTGTCTGTCTTGCCTGATTCCTCTATCCCTTCAGGTTTGCTTTCGCCGCTCATCGAGGGGTTGAGCTTGACAAGATTTGATGAACTGGACACCCTGCCACTTTCACTGCTCTTCAACTTTGACTTGAAGGTCTTCGGTGTACCACCTACCCCTCCCGTCTGCCATCCCGAGCTTTCAAATGTTAGCTCAACAGACGGCTCTCGACAATAATGGGGAAGGTAGATACGGTCCCCCGAACGCAGCATCGGACCTACAAAGAGTTGCCTGCGAAACGGCAAGATTTGTCTTGAAGGATGATGACAACAAAAACATTCTTGTCCATTGTGAGACAATGGTGAGTATTATTCCCGGACCACTGTGCCTAATACTCAAGAATTTTGTTTTCAGGACAAAAACAACATCAACGAGTATTACACACAGGGTCAGGAAGATTATCCTACTCAACACTCCCTTTCACCTGGGACCTCAGATGACATCCTATCCTGCGGGAAGACAGGACCCAAGTTTTCCTTCAATGGTTACGACCTTCGAGCGGTCCAAACCAGCCACTGCGAGGGGGGTTCATCCCGAATTCCTGATCGCGAACACGATCCAATAGTTGCTGCGCGTGCTCCTCAGCGTCACGCTGAGTGGCTTATCGACAACGAAACAGTCAAGATCTTAGCCCCGACACCAGAATGTTCTTCCAAGGCAAAACTGAAAGAGGTCAGGGAGCTGGAAAAGATTGCAGAGCGGCTGGTATGATGAAGATAGACCTGATTAGTTGATCAAAAAAAATTTTGTACCCTACTTTGCTTTCAAACACTGGATATTTCCCTATAGAATTGTATTCGCATATGTATTGAATTATTTTTTGAGAACGACGTATCGAATTGCAGCGCTGGACTTGAGACTGAATCGAAGAAAAACATGTAAGCTCAGTGAGGAGATGAGATGAGATTAAAAAAGCGTGCGAGTAGCGCAAGTAATTCTGCAAAATTCCATTGTTTCCAAAATGGTTACTTTCGTGACCATAGAACATTCGGTTCATTGCTCATCATTATATGGGAGGAGAACACCCCAGTCAAAGATTTCTATGGGAAATTTTGACCCATGATCATTCTGTTCTTTAGAATTTGATAACGCGTTGGGCGGTCTTGCCTCGAGCAAATATTACTCGTAGAACTCTCCACACCGACAATCAAGAGTTAGAATTGAAATATGCAGACATGTTATGCCCGCGAACTCAGGAGTGTATGCTCAGGTTCAGAAATACTACTTGAAAGGGTACCACTACAACCACTGTCCAGATTGTCTTTGCTTGATCACTAGTATGCGGCTTCGTTGTGTTGGTACTCCTCAACCTTTTAGGTGTTCCACTTTACTTCCTTCATTGCTGTTGTGAATTTCTCTCATGTATCCTGATCCTCTTCGCGGTCAAAACGAATGCAACAGATGAATTGGGATAGATAGAAAAAAACGTTACATAACGAGGGTAATCGATGATACACAACGCAGTTGGTACGGTAAGTAGTATGGGATACAGAAAGACCCATTCCAGGACAAGACGTGTATAACGAGCCATGAGCATGAACAATGGAGAGGGAGTGGTTCATGAACTGTGGTTTGCACAATATTTAAGAATTCTAAGGTCGTGGATGGTTCGTGTTAGAGGAATGCCGAAGTTGATAGCTGTTGATAGTCATTCTACAGAAATGAAATGACTCACTGTCCCAAGCCTTCCCAAACCTCCTTACAGGCATTTTCTTATGAAAAATGTGGCGCTTGCTGTTGCACAGCGGCAAGCGGCATTCAAATAATCTAATTTCCAAGAGAGGGCAAGACAATCCCAGATGCGCATGAGAGGGATAAGTTATCGTCTATAACTTGTAGCATGTACAGCGCAAGCCGGGAATTAGGTCAGTGAACGAAGCTAAAGTAGCTAAATCTAGCCAGGTCAAAATTTCAGGGCGTTGAAAATGCCGGTCAAAAGATGAATTCAGCGAGTTGGTGTGAAAAATCATAGTTTCGATACCAACTTACTGGACGAGAGATACCTTGTATGATGTCCATCCTGTTACATGTTAGGATACAGTGTGGTAAGGACCATTTCTGGAAGAAAGCGATTCAATCTAGCACGATGGATCCGCATTGCAAGTATATTCTTGACAAATGATATCTAGACAAAAGGTGTTGTATTTCGTCGAGTCATAGAGAAGGTAGGGAGTGTTGTTTAACTGTAAAGCTATCAAACCACTGGCAACTAGTCTGGAATGGAGACCAAGGATCTTAGGTCACATTATCAAGTGATGTTACACCGTTCGATGGTATAAAAGACCGACATCTGTGGGGTAGTTTTGGCAAGCCTTCTTAAAACTAGCTTTCCTTCACTGCTATACCTTGCCAAGTTACACAGTTTTCACAATGTTTACAACCCAGGTTAACCTTTTTCGTAACCAATCCACACTAAGTATTGGCCAGCTTTTCGAAGTAAGTACAACAACTCACTGCTCAATAATGACGGGTGCTGACCGATCATCCTATATAGGCCACAGAGTCTAGAATGAAACGTTGGCGAAGTGCTCCAGCTGAAGAGCCATTGCCACCGCTACTACTATCCGTGTTGCCTGTCAATCCATCGCCGGTCTTGCTTTCACCACTCACTGAGTGTTTGGGGTTGACAAGCTTTGATGAGCCACCCACAACTCCGTCGTCGCACTTACTCTCACCTCTTTCCGATTTTCCGAACTTGAGCACCTTCGATATACCACCTACACCTCCCCCGTCTGTCGCCCCACCGTTTGCGACACAATTCGAACGTAAGGCTCCCGACAACACTGGGAAAGGTGTATACTGCAGTCCCTCAAACGTAGCATTGGAATTAAAAGCAGTCGCATGTGGAACAGCGAGATTTGTCTTGTGCGATAGCAACGAGCCGTCCGACGAACTTTTTGTCCATCGTGAGACAATGGTGAGTATTATTCCCGGACCACTATGCCTAATACTCAAGAATTTTGTTTTGAGGACAAAAACAAAAACAACGAGTATTACACACAGGGTCAGGAAGATCATCCTACTCAACAGTCCCTTTCACCTGGGACCTCAGATGACATCCTATCCTGCTGGAAAACAGGACCCAAGTTTTCCTTCGATGGTTGTGACCTTCGAGCGGTCCAACCCACCCATTGCGAGGGGGGTTCATCCCGAATTCCTGATCGCGAACACGATCCAATAGTTGCTGCGCGTGCTCCTCAGCGTCACGCTGAGTGGCTTATCGACAACGAAACAGTCAAGATCTTAGCCCCGACACCAGAATGTTCTTTCAAGGTAAAACTGAGAGAGGTCAGGGAGTTGGAAAAGATCGCAGAGCGACTGGTATGATGGAGATAAACCTGCTTAGTCGACCTACAATTTTTTGTACCCTACTTTGCTTTCAAACACTGGACATGTCCCTATAAAATTGTATTTGCATGCGAATTTTTTGATACGATGGAGCTTACCGACGTATCAAATGCAGCGCTGGGCTTGAGACTGAATCGCAGGACAACGTGTAAGCTCAGTGATGAGATGAGATGGGATAAGACTAAAAAAGCGTGAGAGTAGCGCAAGTAATTCTGCAAAGTTCCATTGTTTCCAGAATTGTACTTTTCGTGACCTTTGAACATTTGAGTCATTGCTCATCGCAAAAGAACAGAAAAGTCATTGATATCGCTGATGCATGTTCACAAACATATTTATTTTCCGATGAAGCGGAGGAGATGATTATTAGTTATTGTTAAGCCGGCGTGGCGCAATGGTAGCGCGTAGCTTTCCTATTCTGACGGTTAAGGCTGAAGTTGCGGGTTCGATCCCCGTCGTCGGTTATAGTATTTGTTTTGGTTGTACATTCCGTTTCATTTGGTGTTATCGCGTACATATGAATCGCTATGGCCCCTCCCTCTAACAATACATTCACAGTATCCCATCTAGCCACAGTTTTTTCGCTTCTTCATGGGAACAACCCACGGTGTGAAGGAGACCTTCGACAGTCATGGTACCCATGTTGCCAGGTCCTTGTTCGAGACTCCTAGAAGATGAGCCACCGGCTAAGCATAGTACAGGGGCCTTTCCTACGCTGCCAGGAGTAGAGTGTAACGAAGATTCGCTCATGTCCACTTCGAATTCTAGCTTGTCTACAACTTCAATTAAACCAGTAAGAGGATCTTCTAAAACTTTCCCATATTGACCATCGTTACCGCCCTCCAGAAAGCTTGAATCGTTTTCTGGTGAATGCAAATGCGGGTCAGAGCTTTCCCCAGTACCCGACAACTGTGCAGGATTCTTGACACGGTTGCTCGAATATGCTACAGCAAGTTCTTCAGGTGTAGCGAATCTCATAACGCGTACGACTTTATTCCGCCAACTAGCATGTAAGCGTTCACGAACTTTGACGAGTTGCGTTAAGCCCTCTGCCCATCCACGTTCCCATTCTCTGTGGATGTTTACAAGAAGCGGATTGAGGACATCTGAAGGAAGAGTTCCTGTTTCGGAGGATATCATGGACGGAGGAACGTAGAGATTGGTAGTGAGATGGCGTAACGTTGGCAAAGGAGGTAGGACACGGACACGTTGAGGCACGTCATGACTACTAGATATTGTAGGTGTCGGGATAGACGGCCTGGCGGAAACGGACCCGGAGAGAGGATCGTCTTTGTGGAGGCAGAGCGTAGCAGTAGCTAGCCCCTTCCTGCCCCGCGAACGTGCATTTTTCTTTGAACTTGTGACATCCAATTCGTTTCCTCGATTGATATCCAGCCATGCATTTATTATCTTTTCCTTCTGCTTAGCTTTGCCTATTCCAGTAACAACGCAACTCATTGCAATACTACCCCATTCACGCGAGTCATCTCTGACAGCGATGTCTCCATTGCGCAAGATATTGCACTCGTCTGCAATAATGTGTGTGAGGGAGGGAAAGTGCATAAGAATTTGAGGGAGGGAGCTTTCTGTAATGAGGCAGGTTGAAAGGTCTAGGAATTTCAGATATGGGGTTGGGGGTAAGTGGGCATTCTCAGGGCGGCGAAAGTATTTCTTGGCTGGTTTAGAGCCTGCCGGGATAGATGCTCCGTACGATGGCGGGTGAGGGATGGGAGCTTGAGTCAGAGATCGAGTAATATTTCGCGAGGGAAAACGCAACCGAAGGGATTGGAGAGGAATACGGAGACACGGTGCACGAAGAAGGCCAGGAAACGTTGATTCAAGTTGAAAGAAGACAATGGGTTGGGCAAATCCTGCCGCTAGTGTGCGCTGAGGAAGCCCAAGAGAGAAGATTGGAGGTGGACTGACTTCGGATCCTTCGCTTGTACCCGATTCAATAGTTAGAGGGTCCTGTACAATGGACAGCGTAGAGACACGGCCTGGTGGCCAGCACGTCAATGCTTCTAGAATCGAATCAAAGTAGGAGCCCTACAGGCCAATGAGTATATCGCACGCTGTTATAAGGTCTTCTTACGCTTAGAAATTGGTAATAATTGGCTTTCTGAACGCTGAACTTGGGTATCAGCTTTGGGAACTGGAGTGGAACGGATCACTAGATACTTACTAGGGTCTGAATCTCAGCGAAAGATCGCGTAAACTCCTTACACATTTCAAGCATCTCCCTCCCCTATCGGCAGAGAAAAGTTCTTCGAGATGTTCTGGGGTGAAATTCTTCGGGCCAATCCATATCGACAGTGCAATCAGATTCGGTAGTAATGACAATAGGTTGAGAACAATCTCTGCGTCAGCGGTCCAAGTTTCTATAAGAAGTTCCTGCACCCATTTGCAAGGTTCGTCTCCCTGCTGTCCAATGTCCTGTTTACCAGGTCGAATTCGCTGGTACAAAGGGACAAGTTGGTCCGCTCTGGTAATGTGAATGCGTCGGAACAGCTGATATCGCGGAACAGGAGAGCGAGGAATAGCCCGAGTTAGTGAAAGAAGAGTTGGTCGAATTTCAGGTTCATCAAGCTGTCCTATGAAAGCTGCATAAATCTCTGCTGGGAGAGAGGAGAAGAGCATCGCTCTAACAAATTATCCGCACGTGAACGCTTTCCTCCCATTGTATTACTACCATGTCGCTCTCCGACGAAACTCTTCGTAAAGTCTGTAAAAATAGCATCGTCTGCGATAGAACGCACTTATCTCTGTCCAGATCCTTGTTCAAATTCAACAAACAGCTATCCAGTCGCAGCGCGCTCATACTCTCACCACTCAGCAAACTTCTGTGAAAGAGCGCGAGCGAAGAATATTACAGCTCACGATAGAAGAGATTGGTTTGATCAAGGAGGATGTGAATCTTTATAAAGGCGTTGGGAAAATGTACGTTCGTGTTATTGCATGCCATCGATACTATCCAAACACAATTCCATAGGTTCATGATGGTACCCAGGAAAGAGATGGAGAAAGAATTGAAGTCGCAAGAGAAGGAGCTTTCAGATGATATCGCAGGATTAAATAAAAAGGTATGCCCTGACCCTCGAGAAGTGTTCGTTACTGACGATGAATTGTTACCCAGTCGAAATATCTGGAGAAGCAGTTCAACGAAGCACAAGCGCAACTACGGGATATCGTATGTCGTCTTCACTGTACAGTTCATTGATGCTCATTCACGATTGTAGTTTCATCATGCACCGAAACAATAAAAGCATATCATGCCATTCGTCTAATGCTACATATCCATTCGACATTCTTATCACCAGTGCATTTTTCTCGAGCGTTTAGTACCATTGGGCGAAACGGACAAAATCGCTCCCCCTCCAGCTGCTGTTGAGCTTGTGATCATCTCTCTGAGGCAATACTTTACACACTGGCCTTATCTACAGTCAGCTAGTATGGCCATTTGGGATACCTTACTTTGACCAATTCTTATCGCAACCACTGCTTATAAGTATATGGTCTCTTAAAATCATTATATACACTCTCAAGTACATCGCCTGCAATTTGAAGAGGTAAAGAGTCAAGGGTTAGTATATTTTGAGTAAGAGTTGAAAAGTTACCAGTTTATCATTATGTAATTGAAAATTCTCGACGTCCCGAACACCTTACCATCTTCAGTCACTTTCTTTATATCTCAATCTTTTGGACTGCTCTTGGGATTGTGTGGCGTCAAATCCAATACATCCCGTTGTCAGACTTCGAGTTGTTCAACTCACAGGACATATTTCAGTCGTTTAGTTGAGAATGGCATCTCTCGATGACTACGATGAATTCGGCAACTACATTGGCGCAGATCTCGACTCCGACGACTCCGACAACGAGCAACAAACATTTGTGCCTCAGACCTCGAATGCTCCTGCGCCTTTGGCAGGGTTTGACGACGAGGATGTGCCCATGAGAGGTCAAGAGGAAGGTTTCGGAGAGGGAGCACTCATGGAAATCGACAGTGGTATGCAGTTGACATTATTTTCGTGATTCTTACACCCTTTTAATCTCAAGGCTTCCTTTTAATTCTGTTCCATGTGGGCCAATTTATATAGAACCGGTACACAACGCTGTTGTCCTTCACGAAGATAAACAGTATTACCCCTCCGCGTCGGATGTGTATGGAGCCGACGTAGAGACTTTAGTGCAAGAAGAAGATGCGCAACCACTTTCAGAACCTATCATCGCTCCGATGAAAGTACGAAAATGGACTGTGGAGGAAAAAGGCATGCCGGAAACTCGATTCGATAAAGGGTAGGCATTATTATAGTCACAGGCTTCGCGGGTTAATTGAGGATTTTACAGGTTCTTGTTGAATATGACTTCGTTTCCGGAGATGATACGGAACGTCGCAGTCGTTGGACACTTGCATCACGGAAAGACTGCTTTGCTCGATATGCTGGTGTTTGAAACGCATAAATTGGTCTGGGACGCGGATAAACCCGTACGCATGCACTTCTGGATTATTCCCAATGCGGTTGGTTAATCAGCATTGCAGACCAGATATACAGACGTTCATGTACTGTCTCGAGAGCGTGAAATATCCATCAAATCATCCCCAATGTCCCTTATTCTTTCCACGACAGCAGGCAAATCACACCTGGTTCATCTTATCGATACCCCTGGCCATGTTAACTTCGTGGACGAAGTAGCTTCGGCCATCCGGTTGGTGGATGGTATTCTTTTAGTTGTAGACGTCGTTGAAGGGGTGAGGTCAAGGATTTTTTGTGTCTAATATCACTGACCATCTCAATGTAGCTTATGGTTGGTACAGAAGCTATAATTCGTCATGCCATTCAAGAAAACATTAAAATCACACTTGTTGTGAACAAGCTCGACCGCCTCATTCTTGAACTCAGAATAAAACCCGCTGACGCGTACTACAAAATTAAACACACAATCGAGGAAATTAATACCTTCATCAGGTCTGTTGTCCTGTCATCAAGTAGTTACGGTAGAACTGATACTGCATGCCCAATAGCGGAATAGATCCTGATCCAGAGCTGAGACTGAGCCCTGAGCTCGGTAATGTGGCTTTTGCGAGCACAGACATGGGATGGTGCTTTACTCTGCATTCGTTTGCTCAGATGTATGCCAACACCTATGGTAACTATTCATTTTATTTATACATATCAAGATAACTGAAATTTATTGCTCGCCCAGGAAAAGTGAATGTCCCTGCATTCGCAGATCGACTTTGGGGAGATATTTATTTCAACAATGATACTCGAAAATTCACCCGTAAGGCTGTCGATCCTGAACAAGGGCGTTCGTTTATACACTTCATCCTCGAGCCTCTCTACAAACTCTACTCGCAAGTACTCAGTGAAGAGACTGAACCCCTACGGGAGACTTTAGAAGGCCTAGGCATAAAGCTAAAGCCAATAATGTTCAAGATGGATGTGAGACCATTATTGAAGGCGGT